CCAAAAAAAGTAGTAGCTAGAATGATCTTTGGGAAAAAACAAATCAAATCATGCCACTTTCCTGCTTACATCATTCACTCAATGGTTTCCCTTTGTATTTAAAATAATTTAGGAAACTCTGCTGTGGTCTCTAAGGTGTTATATGCTATGCTCCCTGGCTACCTCTGCCCCTCAATTACTACAGTCCTGCCACAACATCAGCCCTCCATCTGTTACCTCAACATAGCTCTTTCCTACCTCAGGGCCTTTGCCCTTGCTATTCCCATCACCTTCAGGAACTTTCTGTTCCCTAGCTGGTTGCATGGCTGGTTGCTTGTCATCATTCATGTCTAAGCTCAACAGTCACTTCCTCAATAAGGCTTATTTGACAATTTAATCTAAAGTAGGTCCTTTTCCAGTTATTTTCTATTATATCACCTAATTAATTTCCATCACAGCACTTATAGCAATCTAAAATGACTTTTTCTGTTTATTGTATGTCTCTTCCCATCAGGTTACAAGCTTCATGAGGCAGGGATCTTTCTTTTTCTTTTATTAAAACAGCTTTATTGAGATATGATACACATAACATACAACTCACCCATTTAAAGTGTACAATTCAAATTTGCCATTTAAACCATTTTTAAGTGTAAAATTCAGTGGCATTAATTATATACACAATGTTATATAACTGTTGTCACCATCTGTTTCCAAAACTTTTTCATCACCCCAACAGAAACTTTGTAATCATTAAGCAATAGCTCTCCTATTCCCCCAGCCCTCTAATGTGGCTTTCTGACTCCATGAGTTTGCTTTTTGGAGATACTTATATAAATGGAATGCTACAATATTTGTTCTTTTGTGTCTAGCATATTAACGAGGCAGGGATCAGGGATCTTGTGTATCTTATTCACTGCTCTACCTACTGCAACCTAACTCAGTGTACACAGCACACAGTAAGTGCTCAACAAATACTGTTGAATAAACTAATGAATTTTAAGCAAGTCACCTAACTTTAAAAAATTGTATATTGTATCTAAGGGGTACAACATGTTTTAAGGTATATATGATGTTTTGATATACAGAGTGAAATGATTACAGCAGTCAAACAAATTAACATATTCATAGGTGTGTGTGATAAAAACTGCAGAAATCTACCCTCTTGACAAATTTTCAGTACACGATACACTATTACTATAATCCTCATTCTGTATATTACATCTCCAGACTTATGCAGCCTATCTAACTGCAAATTTGCATACCCTTTAGCCTGCTTCTTTGTATTTCCTTCCCTCCCTCCCACTGAATCACCATCCTACTCTCTGTTACTAGTTATTCAACCTTTACATTTAAGATTCTGCATACGATTGAGATCACACAGTCTTTGTCTTTCGGTGTCTGGCTTATTTCACTTAGTATAATGTCCTCCAGGTTCATCTGTGTTGTTACAAATGGCAGTATGTCCTTTTCAGAGGCTGAATAATATTCCATTTCTGTGTGTGTGCATGTGTGTGTGTATCACAATTTTTAAAATTCATTAAAGTCACTTAACTTTTCTAAGTCTTAGTTTCTTGTGTGATGGTGCTATATCACCATTCATTATTAATTTCTTTAGAATTTATAATGTTTCTGGCATTGTGCTTGCTAATGGAAATATGATGTGCAAAATAGTTTTTGTCTCCATTCTCAAAAAACATTTGCTTCCTTTTCTATCTGGGAATGTCGTCTTCTTTGATTTGGTGCACTTTTAGGATGGAAATATACAGAACAGTGAAGTATACAGAAGTAAGGGGATCTCTGCCACACCTATCAAATCATGTGATATGACACTGGAGGGACAAATGTCAAAAGCCAAGCTGTCCTCAAACCCATTTAATAGTATCTGCCCTTTTTACTTTGCAGGGTGATGATAGGGATCATGTGAATGTACTTTACAAACTATAAGGCATGTACTTTACAAACTATAAGGCTCTCCACAAATGTAAGATAAAAGTATTACAATTTTCGTTTTACATATAATTTTTATGCTCTGAGAATTAAAAGCAAATTTCTGTTCTCTACACAAATTCTAATATAATGTACTCATGAACTAACTGAAATTATGGCAGGATCTGGTTTTTAAAGTCAACGTCAATTATACTGCACCTGAATTTTGACAGGCCCATTCCTATAGCGTTACATGGTAGCCAACAAGGAAGGCTATTTCCAACTGAAGAGGCTGGCATTTGACAAATATTAATAAATGGTGCTGAAAACGAGGCATTTTGCTTCACTCACTCTTGTACTTAATCCAGCGCACACACACACACACACCTTCAGACAGCAGTGACATGAAGAGGGCAAGCAGGCCTTACCAGTGCTCTCAGCTCTTCAAACAACACTTGAGGATTTCTACTTGAAGGCCTGTCTCTCTAAGCTTGTGCTTTCAAAACTTGGGCTGGACTGATCCCAAATACTGAAGTAACAAATATTACTAAATTCTGTCATTTCCTCTACCAAAAAAGTGATTTTACTATGACTTCTGGTTGTGATGAAAGGTCCTATTGACTATTCAAATCCTCAACCAAGTTATGGATGCAGTATTAAATGACTTCACTCCTTTTTCTCTGGCACTTTAACACATGCCAATGCTTTCATCCACCTCCACTAATGTGGCTTATAAATTACTGAGGTAAGGCCATTTTAATAGTATGATTTGTTCACATCTTGAGAGATGGGGTACATATGAGACTGGCTGAGAAGACAAACTCCCCTTTGACAACATGTATTAGTCTACATGTCTATAAAAACAAACCTTCAAAAGCTGGAAATATCTGATTGCTATAATGCTTGGTTAGGAGCCATAACAATTAATGGTTCTTTCATTTGTTACAAATCAAAATGTGAAAAAGTGATGGCAGTAAGGTCAAAGACAAAATGAAAGCTTCCCCGAGAAACAGCAAGAGACAGAACAGACAGAGCTGAGGCAAAAAAATGAAAGGTCACAACTGTTCTAAAAGTTTCTAACTGCTTAAAGAGCTTCCTGAATACATTTTGAAATATAAAAAAAGCCAGTTTTTAAGAAGTTTACTGTCCCCTCCTTTTAAAACTGCCCCTAGTGTGATTAAAAAAAGAAAACCCAGATAGGAAGATACTTGCTTGCTCCCCTATGGATTCAGAGTAGTTAACCTATTGATTGTTCTCTCTCTCTCTCTCAATTTTCAAAAAGCATATATAAAGTTGGAGAGGATACACAATTACTACAAGCAATCCATTTCTTAGATGAGTAAAACTAGGTCAGCATACTTGTGGCCTTGGTTCAGTTAATAATAAACTCAGAGGCCTCTTGGGAAGTGGGGACCAAACAGGTCCGAGAGTTGAGAGTCTGATGAGGAGGGCTGACTTTGCTAAGTTTTCCCCTGCACATCGCCTCCATCTTGGTCTTGCTCTCAAAGCAAGCTGTGGTATTCTTAGCAACACTTTATATCATCCTTTGTCATACCATCCTTTGGGGCCCTTGAGAAGAAAGAAGTGTGTTTGTGCATATGTGTGTACGTCTATACACATATGCATATTGTGTGTATGTTTGAAGTTGGGATATATGGAGAAATACAGGCATTTCAGCAGGATTAAGTTTCACCAGGAAGCTTCCAACAGCCTTCTGACCTTAGGAGCTATGTGCCTAGAGCAAGACAGAGAAAATAGGGCAAGAAGAGACGTTCTGAACTCAAATCAGAACTTAGTTCTACTAAATGATGCCAATTTTACTCTCAAACTCTGGATCCTGTAGTATCTACGTGCTCTTTCCACCACGGCTGACATCGCTGATCGCTGGAGTGGCTCTCTAATTTACTTCTTCCTTAGTGCAGTCTTAGTCTGTGCACTTTGTTTTTTTTTTTTTTTGAGACAGAGTCTTGCTCTGTCACCCAGGCAGGAAGTGCAATGGCACGATCTCAGCTCACTGCAACTTCTGCCTCCCGGGTTCAAGAAATTCTCATGCCTCAGCCTCCTGAGTAGCTGGGATTATAGGCACATGTCACTGGTCAGAAGTGCTCAGACTGAGGCCAGGTGTGGTGGCTCATGCCTGTAATCCCAGCACTTTGGGAGGCTGGGCTGGGCAGATCACGAGGTCAGGATATTGAGACCAGCCTGGACAACATGGTGAAACCCCATCTCTACTAAAAATACAAAAAATTAGCCAGGCGTGGTGGCATGCACCTGTAATCCCAGCTACTTGGGAGGCTGAGGCAGAACAATTGCTTGAACCTGGGAGGTGGAGGTTGCAGTGAGCCAAGATCATGCCGCTGCACTACAGCTTGGGTGACAGAGCAAGACTCTGACTCAAAAACAAAAACAAAAACAAATAAAAAACAAAGGAAGTTAGTCTTCCTTTATAATAAAGAAAACTTATGGAATGCCTACATCTTGAAGTAGGGCCAGAAGTGCTAAAGAAATGCTACATATTTCTTTCAGGAAAATACAAACCTAGGCATCTGATAGTCTTACTATGGCATACGGAAAGACATTATTTAGGTGGGATCCTAACTGACGTGATGTTGAGAGTGCCACAAACATCCAAGACAGACTGGAAAGGCCATGTGCTTGGTCTTTTCCTTTGGGCCCTGAATAACAAAGTGAGGATACCATGAAGTACTTGCATAGGCACTGAACTTTTACTCCAGAAACAACAATGCAAACTGAGTCCCTAGAAATAGCCTAAGAAAAGAAAATTACAATTGGTCAAGCTGCAGAGGCAAGAGATGATGAAGCCCACACATCGAAGTATAGTCTACCAGCAAGTAAAAACACAGAAAGAGATTCTGAGTTTAGTAAGAGGATTCCAATTTGTATTCATTGCTTCCCTGTAGTCATTTTAAGGGCACAGAAAAAAAATGTAGTCAAAAGAAGAACTGTGTATTACTAATGTAACTGGTTAAATAAAAGGGTCAACTGCAGTGCATGTTTATAAAGAAACAGGGCTAGCAATCTAAGGAAAGAGGCTATGCATGGAAGTAGGAGATAAGTGAAGAACAGAGACTTACCTGGGCTATATTTTTGTTCAGAAGATAGACACCATAATCAAATTGCAACTTCTCCCCTCCTTTTGGATACAGTGGAAACCTAAGAAAGGTAAAGAAGGATCAGATATTTTCCAAAGCTGAGTGAATACAACCTCCAAGTTGTCGACAGAGGCTAAAATTTCTTAGATACAGTATAAACATCTGAACTGGACTAAGTCACCTAGTTATAGTCATTGCAATCTACTGACATCTTCATAATATTAATTAAGTCAGAATAACAGCTGCTTTCTTTCAAAAGAAGAAGTGAATAGGTCACAGAACAAGGAACTAATGTTTAAGAAAGTGACCAATCCACTCCAAGGAGTTGAGGCCACTGGTTCCTATTTACATATCATAAACTTGCCACCTTAGCTAAGATTAAGATCCCAGAAATTTTTCCCTCTAATATCTTGGACCTGACATCTCAACTTCTACTAAATGGGAGAGGAAGATTAGGAAAGAAAAAAAAAAAAAATCAGACTTAGAAGCAATATATAAGATTTCTGTGTCTTTTTTTTTTTTTGAGATGGAGTCTTTGCTCTGTCACCCAGGCTAGCTCTGTTATCCAGGCTGGAGTGCAGTGGCCGGATCTCAGCTCACTGCAAGCTCCGCCTCCCGGGTTCATGCCATTCTCCTGCCTCAGCCTCCCGAGTAGCTGGGACTACAGGCGCCCGCTACCCTGCCCGGCTAATTTTTTGTATTTTTAGTAGAGACGGGGTTTCACCGTGTTAGCCAGGATGGTCTCGATCTCCTGACCTTGTGATCCGCCCGTCTCGGCCTCCCAAAGTGCTGGGATTACAGGCGTGAGCCACTGCGTCCAGCAAGATTTCTGTTTCTTTTAAGGTGACCAGTGAAATCAACAGTGCCAATATGAGCCAAAATTCATTAAAATATTCACTCATATTTACAGGGATGGCTATTTGGATGCAACTTCTCTAAGGCAATGTGCTCGTGCCACAAGGCTCTCATACAGGACTTTCCATTTTAACCTGACTCACTGGAGCAACAAAGGCATGCGATCTGGATCTTCATAAAGATAATGAGTTATTTTAGAGAGTAACTCCCCTCACTATTCCCCTTCTTTATACTTGCAAATGAAGAACGTTAGAGCACACCTATAGTCATTGTTTTCTGATTCTCAAGATCAAGCAAAAGTTTTAGCATCTGATACAGATTTCTTTACAAACAGATCAATAACTATTCAGGGTCAAGAAGAAAACTTCATCTTCCTTCTGCGATATACAATTATTCTCAAGAATAAAATAATCTTATTGAAATGAATGGCAGGTGACAATTACTAGTCTTAATTTCAATTGTCTTTTAATTGTCTGAGGAAAAGATACATTCCATAAAGCCTAAAGGACATTATTTTCTAGAGGAAATAAAATAAAGGAAATAGGCCGGGCGCGGTGGCTCAAGCCTGTAATCCCAGCACTTTGGGAGGCCGAGACGGGCGGATCACGAGGTCAGGAGATCAAGACCATCCTGGCTAACACGGTGAAACCCCGTCTCTACTAAAAAATAAAAAAAAAATCTAGCCGGGCGAGGTGGCGGGCGCCTGTAGTCCCAGCTACTCGGGAGGCTGAGGCAGGAGAATGGCGTAAACCTGGGAGGCGAAGCTTGCAGTGAGCTGAGATCCGGCCACTGCACTCCAGCCTGGGCGACAGAGCAAGACTCTGCCTAAAAAAAAATAAAATAAAATAAAGGAAATAGAATTTAAGGGCTTTATATTAAATTCTCAGGAGTTGCTGGCTATATAGTATCCAAAGGCAAATTTGTTACACTATAAAATTATAAGAGCTGGGGAGTGAGCAAGGTCATGAACTGTATTTATTCTCTACTAAAGGAACACTAAATGCTTCACACACCCATTAAGAAGACAGAGCTTTATATTTAATTGAAACAGTAAAAAATAAACTAGGACATGTGGTTTGGCCTCAAATTGAGATGCATAAAAATGGCAGCATAGCAAATTCAGGATAAGCAAAGTGCAACACCAGGTTTTTGCAAGATGTCTGGGAATCATTCAAATTCAGATGGGGTAGCCTGCAAAGAAACAACATATTTGCAAATACCCAACAGGGGCACTTTAGAGAAAATCTACTACAGTCCTAAACCTCTGTGCTGTCTAGCCGTTATTCTATAAGCTTCAGATGTAGACTATCTGAACAGCTCTCCAAACCCACAGCTATCTCCATTTTCAAGGTATATATCTAGAAACTGTTTCGTATGTTAGAAGAGTAAATTGAGATCGGCATACGTTGAAAACCAGGCTTCAACATTCCTAAAAAATTGATTTCACAACATTTGACTTTATTATGACTTCAGTGGGACTTATTTATACAAAAAGTCACAAGGTATGGTTCAAATAAGGCAATGCAAAGACAGATCAAATATTAACACAGAATTTACATTTTATATTGCTTTCAAATTCTTAGGTCACTTGAAGTTGAAGAGTAAAATAGCTTATAACTATCATGCATTCATCTTACTTTGCAAAAGTACATGGATTTATAGATCTATCAATCTTGAAAAACACCCATTTTAAAGGGCAAAACCTATTATCAGAACATAAGATACAAATCTTACATTGGAGAATTACGTTAGCAAGCTATAGAAGCTTTAGATAAGAATGTGGCCATTAAAGTACAACCAGAAGTAGGTCCATAACATCGCAAAGAGGACTCATTAAAGGAGTATTACATTAAATAACTGAAGGATGAACCATGTATTTCCTATGAAGATTCAATGCAATTTATTATTATATTCAATTAAAATGGCTAATATTATTTTCAAATTAAATTAAATTTCCACATTGAAAATTCACTGACTCTACTGTCTTCACATGGCCTTAACTGAACCATACCTTGTGGCTCTTTCTATAAATAGAAAAATCAAGGGATTAGAAAGCAATAAATAAGATTACATGTGTGACAGAATTCCATCTGAGCCTTGCGGTCACTGTAACTAACACCAGCTGGTGAAGAGGTTAGTGGGGAGAACTGCAGACCTCCAATCTTAATTATCAGAGCCCACCTTTATCTACTGTAAATACTCATATCATTGTGAACTATCAAATTGGCTTAGGTCAGTTTGCAACCCTTTCTTTTTCCAGTCTGTCTCAGATTGTAAATTTACACTCACTGTGTGATTACTTGGTTAATGTGTGTCTCCCTTATGATACTGTAGGCTCCAAGAGGGCAGAAACCGATTTTATTTTGTTCCTCTTTGCCTCTCTGTCAAGTGTCTAAGCACTGCTACTAGCAGAACTCAATAAACATTTGTTGAATTTTTTTTAAAAAGATTATTTGTGAAAACGATTTGGAACTCTTTAGTATGGAACAATTTCAATATGAGTTAAGAATTACGCGATGACTACCAAAAAAGCTACTGTGATCCCAGGCTGTGGTAACAGAAGAGGGGCAGCTCAGCTGGGGAACGTGATAGTGATTACTACTTTGTACTAGGTTAGACTGTACTGAGAGACCTATGTTCAGTTCTGGGAGTGAAAGTATTTTACAAACAGACAGAAGAACACTTGTATCCTTACTTAAAGGTTATGTTTCTAGAGAACGTTTATAACAATCCCATTTGACTATAAAAAGCATGCAGTGAAATATGAAGCAGTCAGTATTACTGTTATTTAAAATAAATTGATTTGCCTTGGTCCCCTAAGTAGTAAGTGGAAGAGACATGGCCTCAGTATTAGGTCTTCAATAATAAATTCAGTATTCTCTCTATTGCCTCTGAATGCTTTAGAGAAGCAAACCCAGGATGATTAGGGGAATAGACGTCAGTATTGAGAGAAATTGTTGAAGGAACCAAAGGTGTTTGTCCTGGAGGATACAAGTCTCAGGGAAAACAAATGAAGGACTTTCAGAGAGAAAAATAATTCATTTTTTTTTCTGCATGGCTTCAAGCAGGGAGAACCAAAGCGAATGGTATATGCATTACAGGAGATTGATTTCACTACAAAGTTATTCAAAATCCTAAAGATCTTGGTTAGAGGCAGCCAAGCAGAGAAGGGCGACAAACACAAACAAACAATGGACATGTATTTAGTGGATGTAGTGGGTTACACAGTGGCCTCCAAAATGGGACCTGTCTAAGTGACCTTATTTGATGAAAACATCTAAAATAGTTAAGGATCTTGAGTTGAGATCATTTTCTATTAGTCAGGTGAGCCCTCAATCTAGTAAGTATCATAATAAGGAAACACAGAGGTGAGACAAAGAGAAAAGAGGTTGTGTGCAGATGGAGGCAGAGCTTAGCTATGCAGCCACAAGTCAGGCAATGCCTGGAGCCACCAGAAGCTGTAAAGGATAAAGAAAGGAGTGTGTTGCCCAGGCTGGAGTGCAATGGCGCAGTCTCGGCTCACTGCAACCTCCGCCTCCCAGGTTCAAACAATTCTCCCACCTCAGCATCCCAAGTAGCTGGGATTACTGGTGTCCGCCACCACGCCCGGCTAATTTAGGCCGGGCGCGGTGGCTCACGCTTGTAATCCCAGCACTTTGGGAGGCCGAGGCGGGCGGATCACAAGGTCAGGAGATCGAGACCATGGTGAAACCCCGTCTCTACTAAAAAATAGAAAAAAATTAGCTGGGCGCAGTGGCGGGCGCCTGTAGTCCCAGCTACTCGGGAGGCTGAGGTAGGAGAATGGCGTGAACCCGGGAGGCGGAGCTTGCAGTGAGCCGAGATTGCGCCACTGCACTCCAGCCTGGGCGACAGAGCGAGACTCCGTCTCAAAAAAAAAAAAAAAAGAAAGGAGTGTGGCCCTGATGACCTTTGATTTTGGACTTCTGGCCTCCAGAACTGTGTGAGAGTATTTCTGCTGTTTGTCTCATGAAGTTTGTGGTAACTTACAGTAGCTTTAGAGACTAACACAAGAGGAATCAAATACTAGATGATCCACTGGACTCAGTGAGGCATAGTATCTCCTCCAGCTCCAAGATTCTATAACTCTGAATATGTGAAACTAAACATACTGAATATAATTTCATTTTTTCCTTCGGGAACCAAGAAAGATTTGAGACTCTAATGCCAAAGAGTCATCATGACAGG